AGGAGAGGGTGGGGTTTGGGGAGGGGAGGGGCCTCAGCATGCTGCAGTGCCATAGAGGCCACCCTTCAAAGCAGCCATTTTCTCCAGAGGAGCTGATCTCTGTCAGCCGGATATCAGTTGCCTGGAGGCTGGCAACCCTATTAAAGGGAGATTTAAGCCCCTGAGGGCCTGGTTCTGATCAGGGCCAGATAGTGGTGGTGGGGCAGTGCGTTTTCACTCCTGCATCATTTCTATACTCGTTCCTTTGTTCATCTCTATTTCAGCAGACTACTAATAGTGTGAGGAGCTTAGTTTCAACTGACGAAGATGTGGAGGAGGATGAAAAGGTTAAACCCTCTTTCCGCATGGCCTGATCCAAATCGGCTCCTCACCCAGCTGTAATTTCCCCTTAAAAGACACTGAGAAGCCAGCATCGAGCTGTGGTTAGAGTGCTGGAGTAGGGTCAGGGAGATCTGGTTTCGAATCCCCACTCTGCCATGGAAGCTTGCTGGGTTTCCTTGGGCCAGTCACATACTCTCAGCCCTAATTTACCTCATAGGGTAGCTGTGAGGATAAAATGGTACAGAGGAGGACAGACTAAGCTACTTTGGGTCCCCATCGGGGAGAAAGAAGTTGTGCGCACTCAATGAAATTAATGAGCAGTAGGCTTAGAACAGATAAAAGGAAGTACTTCTTCACCCAAAGAGTAATTAACACGTAGAATTCACTGCCGCAGGAAGTGGTGGCGGCTACAAGCATAGACAGCTTCAAGAGGGGATTGGATAAACCTATGGAGCAGAGGTCCATCACTGGCTATTAACCACAAAGTACAGCTGGAACACTATGTCTGGGGTAACGATTGGTGCTTGAGGGGGCAACAGCAGGAGGGCATCTGGAGTTCTGGCCCCGCTGGTGGACCTCCTGATGGCACGTGGGTTTTGGCCACTGTGTGACAGAGGGGAATTTTACATTACCCCTTTTAAGCCGTTTTTAAGCCATTATTGTACTGTCTTGAAGTAAACCAGTACAGGGCTGCCATTTCACACAGCCTTTCCCCTACCAGTAAGGAGCCGTCTCTGAAGTGGTTTGGCATTTCAGATTGTACCACTTTGTTTTCCTGCCCTTTTTCGCCCGCGCAGGCAATCTCTGTCCTTTTTTTTAAACATTCATTTTAGAGTGCTATACCACTATAGCGCTATAACACGACACCAAAACAGTGCAATAGCGACCCCATTGGAATGCCTGGACTCCACTGGGATACATGAGATGGCTACATCTGCCACTTGGAAACAAGTACCTGGTCATTCTCTGGTCATTCCTGCCTAAAGTAATGGGTTGGGGGGGTTATCAGACTAAACTCTTCCTAGGAAACCACAGCAGAGGTAGACACATATCAAGGGATATATCACTTACTGACAACCCACCTATACTGCAGCCGTATTGTTTTAGTTTTAGTGCAGCATTCCTATGGTGTCCTGTCGTGCCCACGTTTGGCCATCTCCAAAGAAATCTTTTGTAAATAAGCATAATTTCTTTGGGATGAATGCAGAGCTTCCTGGAT